GGACCCAGAAAGGGGTCCTGCTTTCCTTGGCATGGTGTGCCAGCAGCCCATCAGTCTTGCCCCTCTTATTAGCCAGCATAGGGGGCCTGCACTGGTAACAGCTGCAGGAAGGTGAACCCCATGACCTGCTTTACCACATGTATATTTTCTACTATCCCCACAAAAACATTGTCTCCCTCTGTTGGCAATTCACTATTCAGTCATAAAGTAAGTGACAGTTTGAAATTTCAGATGAGTGGCAGCATTTATTTGTTCTATGGGAAATATTTGTTAGGTATGAACTCCAGTATAAATTTTACTTCTTTTTGATATAAACTATAGGAAAAAAGGCAGGTATGGGTCTTTCCACATGGCCTGCAATTGGGAAGAGATGTGGGGGCCAACTGAGTGTAGAGCCTCAGCTCCAGGACCCTTTTCCAACTTCAGCTGTGGAAATCCAAACTTCTTATAGCCCTCCTATGTATAAGGGGACCTAGGACTGTTCTGCTTGTTTGGTTTTATTTCAGACTTTTGTCCTTGTGGGTTAGAATATTTCCAGACTCCTAACATTGTCAGATATTGTGCAGTTACACTATTTTAGGAGGAGGAGGAGGAGGAGGAAGAAAGGAGTTACAAAAAGCAGAGGGAAAACATGGGACGGCTACAAGTGGAAGTCAATATCCTCTGGACGCCTGGAAAATCCCTGAAAATGAGGCAAGGCACAATGGATCCTAATCTGGAAATCAGTTTGAAACCAAAATAGAGCCAACCTCTTATTTGTGTTACATATTCTGCAGAAATACCACAAAGTACATACTTCTCACATGAATTAATATAATTTGGAAACTAAAGTAGCTATGTGATGCAATGATATTAAAAACTGATCCTGTTCCTAATTTGTTTGCTGTGTGTTTAAACATTTTTTTTAACAATGGATGTCCCTGCCAATTCTCAGACAAGTAAAGGCAGGCACTCAACTTCAATAGAACAACTTAATAATGCATCACATCAAGGCTTTCACTATCCAACCAAATAAGGCATTTCTGTACTCTATATTGAATCTAAAAAAGGAGCCTCCTCTCATGCAGAATTAGTCCTTCCCTTGTGTGTACTTCCATATTCACTCAGTTCCACATATGTGGCTTTGTTCCATGTTTTCTCTCTACTAAAGCTCCGGATCAGATTTTACTCAGATCTAGCAGCACTCATGCTCTGAACTACCCTCCCCAGAGAAGACCCCCTCAATATTTATCTGTTTTGCTGCCAATTAAAACTTTTAATGTACATGTTACCTGGAAAGATGGTTGCTAGCTTAGGTGAAGTTTGTGGCACACTGTGTAACACTGGTATTGGAGGGAATGTCTATGTACCAACCTGTCTGATGCCAACTGAGGAATGGGGCTTCAGGCCAGCCTCATCTTATCATTAGGTAATGCTAGTTTTGGAACCTTTGATGCTTAAAAGTGGTCACTTATGAATCACCAATAAGGAGCACATGTGCCACAAAAAAGAAAGCAGAAATGCACACATGCTCTGCTTCTGCTTTTCTCATGGGCAGCCGTGTGAACAGAATGCTGGGCGGGATGGACCCTTCGTCTGATACAGCAGGGCTTTTATGTTTTATGCCTGCTCCCAGACCTGACTCCCTACAGAAACACGCAATCAGTTTTGTAAATTTGTGAGTTTGCTAGAGGAGGAAGAACATCCAGTGCACTTTATCCCTTATATCTGATATTTGTGTGCAAGAATGGATGTCTGCTTTTATGGGGTTAAATTTGCTTTGGTTTTTTGCACAGGTCCTTGAATCATGGGTGAACCAGGAGAACCATCTCCTGGGTGGGAGGATCAGCTTCCAGCTTCCCACCTGTGGGAGGCATGGCATATGTTTGGATCTGATTTGGGATTCTGCCACATAGGAAGTGGGGTAGTTTACAAAATAATATTCAAATCTAATACCTGTTTATTCTTCTGAAACACATGAATTAGCAGGGCCATACCTACCGAATGCTTACTTTAACAAATAATCAGCATGTTGTTCTTTACATTGAGGCTTCTTGTTATATAATTAAAAAATACTTACGATACACACTCTTGGTTAGCACGTAAAAAGCCTTTTTCACTCAAAACAGCAGCAAGTCTTGTGTTAATTAACTCTCTATGTTTCATGCTGCCACCATTTCAAATATACAAGCTCTGATTAGTACAACTGGATGTAATTGTGTGTTATTCGTACCTGGATACTATGGATTAATTGTCGATTAACAACCCACAGTTAACATAATAACCAATTCTAAATTGTTTAGCCAAATGTATGCAAGTTCAAACATCTTGGAACAAGCATTATTCACAATGGCAGCAACCTTGACAAATTGTGGGCCAATTAATCTACAATTTACTACCATTATATGCAGCTAATGCCATAGGTAATAAAATTCTGGTTTGATGTGACATGTGGAGGCAGCAACACTAACAAATCATGATTAATTAACTATGAATAACCCAGCAAAGCCACTTACAATGTTATGTTTCCTTGTTGTTGTTCTGTGTCATCAAACTGGCTCCGACATGGTGATCCTATGAATGAAATTAAAAGACGCTACTTGGGAGGAAAGCTATGGAAAATCTAGACAGCATACTAAAAAGCGGAGACATCACCCTGCTGACAAAAGTGCGTATAGTCAAAGCTATGGTTTTCCCAGTTGCAATGTATTGCTGTGAAAGCTGAACCATACAGAAGGCTGAACACCGAAAAATTGAGGCCTTTGAACCATGGTGCTGGAGGAGACTCCTGCGAGTCCCTTGGGTCGCAAGGTGATCAAACTGGTCAGTCCTAGGGGGGATCAACCCTGACTGCTCTTTAGAAGGCCAGATAGTGAAGATAAAACTCAAATACTTTGGCCACCTAGTGAGAAGGAAGGACTCACTGGAGAAGAGCCTAATGCTGGGAATGATTGACGGCAAAAGAAGAAGGGGACGGCACAGGATGAGGTGGCTGGATGGAGTCACTGGGGCAGTTGGTGTGAGCTTGAGTGGACTCCGGGGGATGGTGGAGGACAGGAAGGCCTGGAGGGATGTTGTCCATGGGGTCGTGAAGGGTCAGGCGTGACTTTGCAACTAACAACAACATGAATGAAAGCCCTTTGAAGTGACCTATCTCTGACAGCCCTGCTCAGCTCTTGCAAATTCAAGGCTGGGGTTTCCTTTTATTTATTTAGGGGACTTCCTAGGCTTCGGCGAATGGGGCGGCATAGAAGTCCCCTAAATAAATAAATAAAATAGAGTCCATCCATCTCAAATTTGACCTTCCTTTTCTTCTTCTGCCTTGACATTCCTTGACGCCTTCTTCATGGAATTTTGCCTTTTCATGATGGGCCAAATGTATGACAGCCTCAGTTTTGTCGTTATGTTTGCCTTACTGGGAAAGAATTGCTTTCCTACGAATAAGTGGGAAAAATCAGGATATTAAGCATAGTTAAGTTGAGGCAGTAGGAACACTTTGTATAAAAATTAAGATTTTAAAAAGTTGCCTGCCTTCTTAGAAATGGGATTTATTATTTATTTATTATTATTTATTTATTAAAACATTTTTATGCCGCCCCATTCGCCGAAGCCTCGGGGTGGCTTACAACATAGATAAAACAATAAATTAAAATATCCATATAAAATAATCTTAATTAAAACACACATTATAAAATAAGCCGCCCTGGCCAGATAAAATTCAATTGTATTTAGCATTTAAAATGTTGCTTAAATAAAAAAGTCTTAGCCTGGCGCCGAAAAACAAATAACGACAGCGCCAGGCGGACCTCTCTGGGGAGCGCATTCCATAACTTAGGCGCCACCGCTGAGAAAGCCCTTCTCCGAGTAGCCACCCTCCTAATTTCTCTCACGGAGGGCTCCCGGAGAAGGGCCTCTCCTGC